CATTGATATCGGATAATGAGACCGTCCATAGTTACATTACATAGGATAAAAAAAAGTCATGAGGGATATAAGCCCTTATACTTCTGGGAATAAGCTAACCACTGGCTGGTTCTTGCTCACATGCTCAGGCCCTAACTGAACACCATATGTGGGGTCGAGAAGCAATTTCCCCCCAGGTTAGATTGGCAGGGACCTTGAGGGTTTTTCACCTTCCTCTGCAGCGGTGTGGGTGCAGGTCACTTGCCAGGATTATCTGGGTATATCTCACATAATCATTTCCCTACCTTTGTGGGGGACTCAGGCACTGGTGCACTTTGCTCTCTGCCTGTGGCACATAATAGTCTAGTTTCTTGTGGGCTGTAATAATTTCAGTAGTTGGGTTTAGTGTGCAAGAGCTGGGTAATGTGGGTGGCTTCTGATATATGGGTCAGAATGAATGATCTGGTGGTCCCTTCTGGTCTTAAACTCTGTGACACTATGACTGAGAAGAGATAGACAGAAACTTCCACTATGGGGAGGTTTTTCCATAATTGTTCACTATGGGATTTCTTGCACCTTCATCTGAAGTATTGGGTGCTGGCCGCTATCAGAAAGGGAGGTTTGGACCAAGTGGACAATTGTTCTGATCTGGCATGGCAATTCCTATGTCTACCATGTCTTCATCATTAATCTTAGAGAGCAATATAGCCATAATTTATTCCATTAAGCGCATGCGTGTGTATGTATACACAAATACATATAAAATACATGGAAAATTAGTTTTTAATCTGAGAGAAGCAATGCACTTCAGTAGAGAAGCTTACATATTTTTGTCTGTAATAATTGAATTAAACAGATCATCTCTTTAACGCCTGTCCTGTCTGTTTTTCCGTACACCATGGATTTTTACCAAAACTAGAGTTTAGGACAACTATAAAAAAGTCATAAAACCATATCACTCCAGCACAGATTGGTTATCTAAATTGCTATCTTTCACCTACACCTAAAGCCCCTTTCTCAGGCTGTCAGTATATTTCAAAACAAGGATGCTAAAGTCTTGAATACAGTTATGTAAGTGATCAATCTGACAGCCATATAATGTCTTTTTTCTAGGGTCCTAAGTTCTATCCATGCTATTAACCATGAAGTAATTGGGCCAGATTCTCTGCTGGGGTAATGGGCACAGCTTTGTTGAAACCACTGGAGCGGTGCCCATTTACACCAGTGATTAATTTGGCCCTTGTGTCCATAGCATGATTTTATATATATAGTTGAGAAGCACATAATCTGTCTGTAACTCTCCATGCAAATGACCAGAGATTCAAATAAGCTAGTGAAATCTTTACTTGCTTTACCAGAGTAATCGCATATGGCTCAAGACTGCAAGGTGGCGAGCACTCTTGTCCTGATCCACCAAAGCACTTAAGTCCATGCCTAACTTTAAGCATGTGGGTGGTCCCACTGATCACCTTCCACTATCAATCCTTAGAAGAACTTGCTTAGTAGAAAATAGAGAGCTCCATTTGTCCATATAATGGAATTGTCACAGGGCAGAGGAAAACCTTATGATCAAGATCTGAATTGTAACTTGTAAAGCACCCCAGAGCTTTTGATCAGAAGCAGACCCTCCTATAACCAGATAAATACATTCTCAAGAGTAAAGAATTGTTTCTTATGCTTAAAGTTAGTAAATAGTTTAAGACTTATTTACAGACCTGGAGTTGAGGGAAATTCATATCCCCAAAGAAATGTCTAAAGGACCAAGATCAGGAATAGATAAGTAATATATTTATGGTAATAATTGATCAAAAAGAAGGTAAGAGGCAAAAAATGAGAAATAATGAATACTACTTTGTGCCTTCATAGCACTTTTCCCATCTACAATTACATTTATTGGCTTTACAGAGTTGGTGGCCTTTTAGCGGTTCATTAATATCTTTTGTTCATTTATCTTGTTTAAATCAAATCAACAACTTTGAAACTGCCAGATTGTACATAGGCCAATCTTGTGTTCCTGTCTGTATTATCATCCTTGTCTTCCCCTTCCTCTTCTCTGTTTTGGTCTATACTCACTTATACCATCTACTCTATTCAGATTGTTAAATCTTTGAGGCAGGTCTGTTCTGGTGGAGACCTGCTGCTGATATGGGCATGGATCAGGGAGAGTTTTATGCCATCTCCAACTGATGTTTAAGGACTGTGAAGAATTTGCCAGATACCACCAGAACCATACCGCTTTCCAAGGCTCAGGCACAGGGCAAGCCCATTCCAGCACAACCTGTCCTTCATTATGAAAAGAGAACTTGGCTCTGTACAGCTTCTCCAGGATGGCCTGGGTTACTGTTCTGGACAGGTCTCATCCCCTGCCTCAGATAATCTGGACCAGGCTCCCTTTCTAAGGACTGTAGAGGCTGTCACCTGTCTCTTTGGAATGAGGCTCACCTATCCCAGGGTCAAAACACCCTGTTCAATTGCTGAGCACCTGGAATCTTTCTCATCTTTAGCCTTCGAAGTTCTCGTTTGAATATTTGCTACTGCCACCAAGATCTGCAGCTGCAGGGGCTCTGTCTGGGCCCACACTTTAGGCTTCTGGACCCCAGGCAGTGGCCCTTCTACTCATCCAGCCATAGCCCCTGCCTCTTTCATTGTCAGCAACAGCCAGGTATGCGCCTGACACTCAGCACCATCCATTTTTAGGGCTAGCTAATTTGGCAGGTGGGCTGGTGGATTCCAATGGATGTCTAAGAACACTGTACTTCTATCTATATCAACCAACAATTTCTCTGGGGGCTGATAAGCGTCAGCAATGCAGTAGTGCCAGCCATGGAGTTAAAAAAAAAAATCATGAGTCCAGACCTCACCTCCCAGAAATCATGATTGCTCCCAAAATCATGAGATTTTTAAACAAGAATTCTATTGTGGTTTTGTTGGTCTATCTTTTGATTTCTGAACTCTCCCCGCCCATTGCGCGCGCGTGTGTGTGGCCCACTCTCCCTAGTGTATTAGAGGTGACTGGCCCCTGCTGCAGGAGCTCTTGCCCCCATATCCCCTCTGCCTAGCAATTAATTCTGCTCCCAACCTCCAAATCAATCCTGTCCCCCACAGTCCACACATCAGTTCTACCCCGTCATCAGGTTTGCCCATCCCCATCATTTCTACCCACCCAGCCCCTATCCCCCATCAGTTCAGCCTCCCCAGCCTCACCTCTGCTCCTCCTGGGATTCCTCACCCCTACTCTCCCAGGCCTGGGGCAGAGGCAGCCGCAGCAGGGTCCCCTTGTCTCCAGCCAGACTGGGGGTGGGCAGCTGCAGGGTTCTTCACCCCCTCTGCTCCCTTCTCAGCGGGGATGTTGCAGGGAGGGAGGGGTGAGGCACAGAGGAGCAGGAAGAAGAGGGAACAGAGCCACCCCCAGCTGCTGAGCGCTTTTTGCTTCCACTCCTTTCCTGTGAAAATGGAGTCAGGTGGCTGTGGGAAGTGGGAGGAAGCTGTGCCTGCGATTGGCTGCTGTACCCCAGGAGGTGGAAAGGTGGAGAAGGCAGACAATGAGAGGGGTACTCCCTGAGCACAGCTGAAATTCGCAAGAGGCCTGAAACCTGTCATCTCCAGACTGGCTCCTGCCCTGGATGAAAGCCTGTTGCTCACAGCAAAAGCAAGAGAGCCGACAACAATGCCATAGGATGGATCTGCTTGATGCTTAATAGGTTACTCCGGGGGGAGTTCTGCACCACTGTGCAGTGCAGAATTTTGCAGAAATTAATGTGTGTACAGAATTTCCTTCCCCCCCCCCCCACAGAAATTGGCTGTGGAGCTGCTAGCCACCACTAGGGAGTGCCAGGGGGGTGGAGGGAAGGAGAGGGAACTAGAGGGTTCTTGGCAGCTGCAGTTCCCAGCATGCCCGAAGGGAAGAAGAGGGTGGCACATGGGAAACTCCATGCAAGCCTGGGACTGAGCATCAGGCTGTTTCTCCCACTGGTTCCCTGGGCTCTGGGGGGGCGGGAGGGGGGAGGGCGAGCAGGTATCTGGGCAAGGGGGGCCCTGCAGCTGGGCTCGGGGGGGGGGTTAGGGGGCAGAGAAACAGGAACTGGATTGTCATAGGGGTTTCTTTAACTCTCTATTCCTGGGGGAATTTTTGTGTCTGTATTGTTACAGCCATACTTGCTGACAGGTATTTTGAAAGAAATTATCAAAATAATTGAAACTGGCGTGATTATGAAGTGTTATTTTGACAAATAACGTTTGCAGAATTTTAAAATGTGCGCAAAAGTTTTAATTTTTTGGTGCAGAATTCCCCCAGGAGTAATAGGTCCCTCCAATCACTGAACTGTGTGTTGGGGGCAGTGTGTCTATGCTACAAGAATGGAGTGGCTGCCATGTGCGCGCTACGACTGCTCCTTACAGGTTGGAATACAGAGTGTCACACTTTTTTACAGTGTCGCAGTTCCCACACCTGGATGAGCTAGTGAAGCCACTCTTTCGGGTATGGGCTATCCTGGGGTGAACAGGGGTTGGGGACCCACTGCCCTGGGTGAAGGAAATATATCAGACCTACCCTTTTACAGCCGTTCCCTCAAAGGGCTGCAAGGCTTGATTAAGGGAGGAGGGGCTCCTAGCCCTATAGACATTTATGGGGCCTTGGGCTATCACTACATAACCTTCATTGTTTAAAAGGCCACTGCTAGCCAACAATATTATTACAGACGTGACAGAAATCCTGGCTCACAATTGCCAAAAAACATCCATGTGATTACGCCTACACTGCACTGGGCTCTGTTGGGTGAAATATATCAGACTTGCTCAGTGGGGTGCATGAGCACCCTCTGTTGGCTGACCTAGAGCGGTTGCTCTAGCTGGGTAGAATATTGCTTCTGCATTCAAAGGTTCTGGTGTTAAAGCCCCCAAGTGGTGCAGGGTTACTCGGGAATGGAAGAGATGTGCCACAGCCAGAGGCAGCACCCTCTTTGCCTCTTTTCCATGGGTTCCTGACTATGTGAGCTGAAATAAAGACAGCCACAGACACCATCTGGTTTCCCTTCATACTTTGTAAATTTTTTATTATTATTTTTATCATCTCCTTTTTAAGTATCCCTTTAAGGGTGAAATGAAATCCAACCATTTACAGAGAAAATGATTTCAGAATGTACATTTGATTAATCCTTACAAAAATTAATTATTATTGGTGTTTATAAATTACAGGGTTGTTGGGGTTTTTTTTGGCAAGTCCACGCATTCCTTTGCCAAAAGAGGGCGCTCTGGGCAACACCACAAGTCAGTTCCCTGGGTAGCATCAGTCCCATGGGAATGCTAGTGCATTGCTCCATGGAGGATACTGCTTGATCATTCCTGCAGGAATGAGAATGGACAGTGGTTTGAATTCTCAGTTTGGCTTTTGGCCTTGTATTCATCCTTTCTATACCATTGGTTGCAGCTCTGATATTCCCAGTGTATGTGTATTGCATTATACTCTCCTCCCTTTTCTTGACATTTGGGATTAAAACCCCTCCCATTTTTTTCCACCCCACATGTATACTCCTATATTTTCACATTAAGGGTGAGCTCCTCCAACTTCTCAGAGAGATTGAATTTTTTTTGTTTGTTTTTGAGCTCTGAACACAAAGACTAAAGGATTTGGGGTTCCTTCCCCTTCCGCTCCCTCCTCCCCAGTTTTAGAGGTCTATAAATCCAAGCTGACCTTTCCCTTGCCCACTGCCTCCCTAACCAGTGTTTACTAACAGGACCAGGAATGACCAGCTCCAGGGTTCTCACAGTGCAGATCTGCAGCAGCCATGAAAGTCGATGAAGAAAGGGGGTGACAAAGGGACACGAGGTGGGGTGGTTCCAGGGTGTGAGAAAAAACTATGGTCTCAGGAGGATACCTTGCTTGAGGATAACTGGAAAAAATGCTGCTCTGAGCTCCACCAGCCTTGCCACATTAATGGGATGAATCAGAGCCTCTCCATTTGCCCACCCTCAGCATATAAATGATATGTTGCGCTGTGTCCCCCGGTTGGAGGCAAACAGGAGTTCTAGTGAATACCTCAGCCCCAGGGACATACTGCAAATATTGGAGGGAAGAACACTAAGTAGAGAACTGTGATGTTTTCCTTTTCATAATAAACACAGAGCCGTAAAAACAATCCCATTCTTTGTCTCCTGTTCCCCTAGGGATATCATACTCAATCTGGCTCTGAGCATCACCAAGGTTTGCCACCAGCTCCACTGATGGGATAGGGAGAAGCCCCTTCAAGCCAATCTGTTCAGTAAGGGGGACCCACCTGCTCCAACACCATGTCCACACCCCCACTTATAAATAACCTGGAAAGAGCCCGCCTCTCAGGGCTTAATGTGGGGGGATGGGGTGAGAGAGCCTTGAAAACTACAAAGGAGCAGGGGACATTAATACAACAGGCTGAAACAGATACACAGCACAGTGTAAGCCCCCAAAATTGCAGAGGCTGCCTCATCAATGTTCAAATTAAGAAGGGTAGTGAGGGGTTAAAGGTGAAAAGACACTTAGCCATGAGTGAAGCAGCAGCTGTCTAAGAGTTTGTGGGCAAATAGGAAGTGAGCTGTACTACTCACTTTCAGTTGTGATTGCTGCAACAAATAGCATATAACAGCTGTGATATCCCGTCCCAGCCATTCCCTCTTGTCATTAACCACCTCCCAAATACAGGTTTGGGTTTTTTAAGCTTTTCCTTCTAAACTCCATTGCAGCATCTTCAGTGCCAGATCAAGACACGATCAAAGAAGTCAGACTGCTCATATCAATGGTTTGTGGGAATGAGGGCTCTGGACCAATCCTTATCATCACACCCATTTCTCCCTTGCCACAATTTGAGACCCTGCACTTTTGTGTTGCTCCTTATTCAAGCTTAATCTGTCTCTCTCTCCTATAGGCACCCATCCAACTATCTGATCAAATTACAGATGTAACCTCTGCTTCCCATTCCTTCAGGGCCTGGTTGGGGCGGATTGTTGGCCTGAGAAATCAACCAGGAAGAGCCAGTTCCCAAAAGTCCCACCCGGCTGTCTTCAAGGGATGATGGAAGTGGAAGATGTTAAATCCACAAGAGGTCAATTTCTCTAAACCCAATCAAGAGAGGATAAGCCATGCAAGTTAAATACCACAGATATAAACTGGTTTGGCTTTAAACTGAACAATTACAAAAATGAAGAGTAAAACCGAACACATTTCTTCTGAAAGTCCCTCAACACAGAAGCCTGTTTCAAATTTCATTTCTAACTAACTAGTGAGGAGGGGGCGGGGAGAGGGACTTTGGGACGGAGAGCCCTCTCAGAGTCCCCAGAGGAGCTCAATTCTTACCCAGTGTGGGGGGGGAGACCCTTTAGCTGAAGCCCAATAGGTACAATGGAATCTGTTCCTCATGCCTGGAGGAGGGGGGAGGAGAGAAGTGTGGCTGTTAGTGAGAAGAGGGAACTGAAAGAGAGAGAGGGAAGAGGGCCAGTGAGGAATTAAGGGAGGGAAGGGGAACAAGCAGGCTATATCTCTGTGCTGGGTCTAGCTACTGCAGCGATGGGTACATTAGAAATTCACAACAGGCAACTGCAAAACCCTAGGCAAGGCAAGCACGTCCTGCAGTGCAATGCAAAGCCCAGAAAGCCCATTGAGTAGAAGAGGGGAGGAGGCAATGGGGAAAAGGTGCTGTGCCAGGGGAGGCGGTACAGTACTGTGGATGTATTGTGGTCTGCTTGGTCCCACATCGCTTCCTATCCAGGAAGATTGCTGGTGTTAACCAGATGTTCTAAATCCACCCCAGATTAGTGGCTAGGACTGTGCTGCAAGGAAGGGACTCAAGTTCTAGCTATATGGTGCCTGTCATCAAGGCAGCTGACCACCTCCCAGCATTATGGAGTTTGCAGACAAAGATATATAGTGTGTGTGTCTCTCTCTCCCCTCCAGTCAGCAGGGACTGGACTTTGGTTGGTTTGTTGTTTCTGTGGAAAGGCAGAGTCAAAGCAGAGGGTCTGAGGCAGGTTCTGGGCTCTCACTCTTTCTCCAAGAATGAAAGAAAATGAGCAATGCCTGGGTCCCTCCGTACCTCTCCGCAATATCTTGCACCAGGCCCTTGTGGTGATGCATGGTGCTCTCCCTCTGCCTCCACCCAGGATTGTAGTACTGCCCTGCTGTGCTATACCCACTGCTGCAAAGTCTTCTCCCCTAACATATGCCCCTCTTTTTGCAATCACCCTCCCGTTCCTGTAAGTCATGTGGGTTCCTTCACCACAATCATGAACTCTCTGTGGCAAACTGGCCTGTAGCCCCCGCTCTCCGAGGTACCACCCCTCGGTCTGAAACACGCCTCCTTCACACCCTAGCTGATGGGTCATGCAGATAAAGCTCAACTTGGGCAGCACAGCAACAGCTTTCTCCCAGGGGCGAGGGTGGAAATCTCCCCTTCTCCCATCCCGTGGGCCAGCCTTCAGTGATCTCAGGGAGCAGACAGTAGTGGGTGATGGTAGCAGTTGTGAATAAAGTGAAATGATGTTTAGCCTCTTTCGAGAACCTGTCATGGGACTAGGAGTGAGATAAGATTAAACATTACTTAGATCAGTCAAACACCAAGGGGTTCCAATCTGGGTGCTTTATGTTGTTCTATCTCAATTGTACTTTGGACCCACAGCTGCTGGAAAAAGGAATTCAGTTAATTCAGAGTGCTAGGGGAATAGATACCAAGATAAAATAAGAACCTTAGGAATACTTATAGGATCAGGAGGAAGGCACGACCTTAGAACTGAACTCTAGGAGGAAGGCACGACCTTAGAACTGAGCTCTAGGGCCTGTCACTTTCCCCCAGACAGAAGGAGGAGGGAGCACAAAGGTGGGGGGAAAGAGAGTAGCAGAAATGGGAATCCAGGCAAAAAAACAAGGATGGTGAGTCCTAATGGTCAGAGTGATTTACGCTCCCACTGGCAAAGAAAGCCCCCTCTCTTCAGCACAGCTGGCCTGGCTGGTGGGGGATGATCGCACCTTGTAGGGAATATTCCCTTTTCTCCCACCATGCTTATTCCAAACAAGAGGGTGGGGAATCATGTTTCCATCATTTCTCTCTTCAGTGTACTCTCTCAGCTGGAAGAATAACATAGCTTCACCCTGCTACATGCTACAGATTGGGCTCCATACACACTACGGAGCCATTTGCTCAAACTGGGAGAGGGGGAAGGTGGCTGTCACCCCAAAGAACCAAGAGAGCCGAGGAAAGAAACAAGCCCTGTCATTAAAAACCCGGTGGAGGGACAACAGGGATGGAGAGCTTAGCTCGCTGCCTCCAATTGGTTCGGCTCTTAAATCCAGTTCTGTCACTTCCCCTCCTCATTGCATGACTCTCCACACAGTCCAGACAAGGAGTCTGGATCGCGCATCCTCCCAGCCACAAGGCGGCAGCATTCCAGGAGTAATTCCCCAGCGGATTCTCCGTGTCCCTGGGGCGGGTGCTGTGCCTCGATGCAGTCTGTATCCCACTGGCCCCAACACCTGGGCTAGGCTCTAGGGGGTTGGGATTTCCCCTTCCCCTCCCTCTTACTCCAGGGAGAAGAGGATTAACCAGCACTTGTATTGTATTGTTATATGGGGGAGGGAGGCTCCCTGCCACAGATATTGCCAGCAGTGCCTCCCTAAGTTTGTCCCCATTCTTACCCCTTATCCAGAGCTGGTTCTGAATAGGACCATTTATGGAGCACTGGCATGAGAGCCTACAGCTTCCCAGCCTCCCCCTATACCCAGTAGGCTTGTAGAGGGTTCCCTGAATATCCTTAACCCCTAAGTAGATAGCAGAGCTTCTGAATCCTGCCACTCTCCCACCCCTCTCACACACACACGCACTCTGCCACACATCTGCCAAATCCATGCACATTAACACTCGTGCACACACTAATCCACACACTTGTGAACACAACACACAATCAACCTAGTGAAGAGCCCTGCAGCTTGTTCCCCTGACGAAAACAGGTTGCTGGGACACAGCCTGAGGCTTTGTGGGCAAAGCTAAGGTGTGGGGTGCAGCGTGACAGTGAGGTGGGGGTAGGGAAGGAGTACAAGCACTTGTGTTCCACCCCACTTCCCTTTTCTGCAAGCTCCAGGACCGGCAGCACATTAGACAAAGAGTGGAGCCCAGGAGAGATGCATTGACATGAGGTTGGTAGAGGGAGGCTATGTTTTAAAGAATACCGAGGTAAAAAAATAAATGCCTATAGATATGCTTTTGCACATGTACACACAAACTCACATGAACACGCGTGACACACACATCCACTCACATGCACATGATCATACATTCGCCCGCCCACTCACATGCTCATTGACAAGTCCAGACTCACATGTGCATGCAACCTGTTCCGCGGTGGGGGCAGCTGCTCCCTCTGCCCACCCTCGTGTAGGAAAATCTGCCCCCTGGATAAGATCTCTCCACCCTGCAGGCAAGGTTGAGGAGGTGTGCCATAGTCTTTTTGCCTTCTGCAGGGCCAGTTCCCATTTCCTCTCCTTCCCTCTGGCCCTCGTTAGTGTGACTGGGAATCCCACCCCAAGTCTCACTCCTGGAAAGGCAGAGAATGCAGAGAAACTACACACCTCAGCTGGAAACAAAATGAAGAAGGAAAATAAAAGAGACACCTCACTCTTTCCGTTTGCTCTAATGTTCCCATTTCCCATGCAAGTCCCGCTCCCCTCATCCAGCCCCTTCTGCCCGCCGGTAAGGATTCTCCAGCAGGTAGTGGAACCGCTGGTAGTTCTTTAGCAGGTACTTTGGGGCATACATTTGTTCCTTGGGGTCAGCAGGGGGGTACTCCTGGGTGGTGCCGTCGAACCAGCCACCAGTTCGGATCAGTTCCCGGATGTAGTTGAGGTCCCGCTTGTCCTCGTAGTCACCCCAGCGGGGGAAATCCCCATTCTGGGCTGACACCAGTTTGAAGTAGATGCCCTCTGGGGTGAAGCACCAGGAGCAGTGCCAGCCAGCAAAATGGAGGGGGCTGCCCAGCGACCACTGCACCAGAATGTGGCCCGTGCTGTTCTCATACTGCCGGAAGCCGGGCATAGTATAATACTCTCTGCGGCGGAGGCGGATCCCATCCGTGGCGTAGACGGCATGCAGCATCCCCACTGTGCAGCCAGAAACCACCTCTAGGGTGCCGGGCTGCTTCCAGAAGAAGCCATAGAGGGACTTGCGCATGTGGAAAGCAAAAGGCTCTGTCCAGCCATCGTAGAGCTTGAGGAACAGCACGCCATCGCGGGCCGGGATCTCGTCCGCATCGTCAATGATGAAGATGTCGTCCGGGCGCAGGTTGCGTAGGCGGGAGGTGCCGTCCCGCGTCAGGAAGGTGCGCAGGTAGTCATCGGCGATCCAGCCGTCCTGGCGCCCACCGGGAGGGAAGTGGTCCAGGAAGACGTAGAGCACCTTGTGGCGGATGTAGTCGAAGGAGCCATTGAGGAGCATCTCGCGGAACTTTAGTGGGCGCGCCTCGCCATAGGCCGTGAAGTTCGACTCGCAGACCACGAAGGCGTCCACTACATCACCCAGCTCATGGAAACGAGCTTCCAGGAGGTCGAACTCATGGTTGATGTTGATGGCATTGATGACCCGCCGGGGTACTTCACGTGGTGCCAGCCGATCCTTGGTGGGCAAGTTTGAGTACTGGACCACAGTGGGCACCCCACAGCTAGGGCCATGCCAGCCAGGCAGGCACATGCACTCCACCCACTTGCGCCGCTTTGTGCCGCTGTTGCTCAGTGGCTTGCGAGCTGGGTGCCCCGAAGCAGCGCCATCTTCTCTCTCGTCCGTCTGGCCTGCTGGTGGCTTCTCCAACATCCTGGTGCCTGGCTTGAAGCAGACGCCGCCAGCTTTGGTATGGACAAAATATTTTGACGTGTCTTCCTGCAGTACAAACTCAGCTTTGTGTAGCTCCTCGCTGGCCCTGCTGGGTGGCAGGGGCTGGAGCAGGGGTGAATGGGAGTACAGAGGCGTGCGGAGAAACTCCGGCCCTCCTGGCTCAGGGCTGACCTGCGGCGTGACAGGTGCATTGTTCCAGAAGAAGCTGTAGACGAGGTTGGGGCTAAGCGAAGCCAGCTCCCGGGGGAAGGTGACGTAAGAGAGGGCCTTGAGGAAGTGCAGGACGGAGATGAGGCAGAGACCACCCATGCACAGAGTCAGAAAGAGCTTGTGGCGTCTCATCTTCATCCTGAGGAAAAGCCAAAGAGAAAAGTAACATTCAGTTATTAGTTGGCTGCAAAAGGTCCCTGGACCACTGGGGAAAAGAGTGTTGTGTGGAGCCCAGGATATAACCAGAGTGAGGTCCAAACTCAGATAGAATAGGCTCCAGCTGGAATCTTTCCCTCAAATCTTGGGGAGGTCTAATCCAACCCAATTCCCTCCCTCCCTCCCATTCTCACCAGGCCTGCCACCTTTGCTAAATTCCCTCTTGGAGTTAAGCAAATCTGACCTCCCCAGGCCTGGGTGCGGTCTTTAGACCTGATACATTCTAGAACATTCCATTAGTGTCCCAGCAAGGGGATGGGAAGCACGGAATTCTAGGCACCTCTGATCCAGTGAAGTCTCCAAGCTCAGCAGATTTAATTAGAGCAGATGGCAAGGTGAGGACAGAATACAGAGAGCTCACTCATATGGTATATCACCAGAAGGTTACAGGGCTGCTGGAAGAGGGGCTAGAGAGTGGTCAGGATGAGGGGCAAGGAGAATAGAAGGTTGAGGCTGAAAAGAAGTCATAATTGGAATGGAGTGTAGTGTATGGGACGGGGTGGGCAAACTTTTTGGCCTGAGGGCCGCATCGGGTTTCATAAATTGTAGGGAGGGCCGGTTAGGGAGGGGGTCGTGGGACTTCTGCCCCATCCAATCCCCCCCTGTTCCCTGATTGCCCCCCCTGGAACCCCTGTCCCATCCACACACCCCCACTCCCTGTCCCCTGACCACCCTGGACCCCCGCTGCCCCATCCAAGCCCTCCTCTCATTCCTGACAGTGCCCCTGGAACCCCTGCCCCACCTAACCGCCCCTTCACCCTGTAAGCTGACTGCCCCCGGAACCCCTGCTCCTGTCTGCCCCCTGA